TACACTGTATCTTGTAGAGCTATTCCCCTGTAATTTTTACATTCTGTAACGTCTCCTTTTTTATGCACTGGACATAAGATTGCTTCTTTCCACTGATTGGGTATTTTTTCTTTGATCCACACTTCGCATATTAACTCAGCAATGATACCATTTTCACCAGGTGATTTGTTGTTTTTTAAGTTTTTATGATCTCTATAATTTCTTCTTTGGTAGGTACTTCTTCATGTTGTAGTTGCGTTTGTTCTCTTTCATCATGGTCGTCCGTACATAATATGTTCTCGAAATAATTGGCCCACCTTCTTAATTTTTCATCTGTTCCACCTAACAGATTCCCCTCTTCATCTTTAAAATATCTTGATGTGGTTTTGTACTGGGTTCGGTCTCGTTTTATTTCTTGGTAGAAATTCCTGACTTGTTTATGTAAAAAATCTTCTTCAATACGAACTAGTTTCTGCTCTAAACTTGACCGCTTCTTCCTTCTACAGATCTTCTTTGCTTCCCGTCTTTTTGTTGCATAAGCTTTTTTACTCTCTTCATTATTTCTTATTATGCTATTTATTCTAGCTTTATTTCGGTCACTAATGGCTTTCCTACAATCCTCATCATACCAATCCGTTTGTTTACATTGTCTGTTTCTTGATAATACTGACTGGCTGCTTCTTTAATTTTTTCTTCTAGTTGTACCATACTTCGGACCATACTTCAAGGTAAAGTGCATGGGAAAAGAGGCCCAGGACGGAGAAGAATATCCTGGCTGCATAACCTGCGAAAATGGTTTAACTTAACCACTACCGGACTTTTCAGGGCAGCAGTCAACAAAGTCAGAATAGCCATGTTAGTGTCCAACATCCGTAACGGATAGGCACCATAAGAAGAAGGTCTTCTATGTTTAGGTTTCCATTGATTCTTGGTAGTTTTTCGGATAACATTTGAACGTAGTTACATCTTAATAGTTTCAGATTTTAGCAACTCAGTATTTTATGTATTTTTAAAGTCTTCGTTACATACCAAGTAATTTTCTTCTTTTCAGATTTCGATAAATTCCTCCTAATAACAATGCGCCAAGTTGTGCAAACAATATGTCACATTTAAACTCATCCATTATTTACGATTTGGATGGAATATAAAATTAAAGTTGTTAAATAAAATATCTAAACTATTTTTTGACAACTATGTGAACCCTGGTACCTATTCAAATTTCTTGTTGTTTTTATATAATATAGTTTTGTTAAAAATATCGAAATAAACACGAAATTACACAATAACTGTATTGTTTTCGTATTTTCCTTGCTTCCTAACACATTTTTATTGAGCCGTATTAAAAAATAATTAATGTAGGGCAGCTCTGTAATTTACAATTACCCTAAAAATGTTACGGGATGAGTGAATTATAGGTGAACCAGAATATGAATAGACGTGAACATACCAACGTTAGCGCGCTAACAGATTTCAAATTACGGGACAGCGCGCTCAGTTGATCGAGAACTGCTTTTAATCATAGTGATTATAGATTTATATTATATTATATTTATAAGATCTAGAAATAAATACGAACTAATAAAACATATATATTATATTCGTCTCAAATAAAATAGAACACAGTACAAACATATTGTCAAAATGGATAATATTTGTGGTCTTTGAAGTCCAACAGAGCTGAAGTTCGAGCGTTTTTATTGCGTGATTTAAGGACCTCCAACTCATCAGCAGATAAATCAAAATCTAAAATCTCAAAGTTGTCCTTTATTCTCGTGGGACTGACTGATTTTGGAATGATACTAATACCCAGTTCCAGCTAAAATGAAAATGATATAAAACTAAAATAAAGCGAATAAAGAGGAAATGTGTATGTACTATGAACGCATATAAAATAATATGTCACTAATTTAAAATAACGGTACCGGTTGTCCCAAATAACCAACTATATTTTACACAAATGTGACCTTTAGAGAAAAAATTTCATAATTTTCAATAATCAAAAACAAAATATTTTTAATATTAAATATTTAAGAAAACAGTAAACCCATATCTGTAAGTGATATGGAAATATTTTCTGTACCTGTTACTTGAAATTATCTGTTCATCCAGCAATTTGGTAAAAACTAATAAATAAGAGATTTACTATCTCAAAATCATTCTTACCAAATATCTTAGGACCACTTGTGCTGGTGTTTTATTATGCTTCTTGGCAATCTCTATTACTCTTGGGTCCTCAACTGTTGGTCCAGGATAATTAGGAGTTTTAGTCACTCCTATTCTTTCCAAAGGACAAAAACCGGTAACAACAATCCCTTTATCTTTGCAAAACTTAATTAAATCTGGTTGGCTGTTGTTAGGATTTACTTCAACTTGATTGACTACCTAAAATATAACATAGTTTGAGTCAGAGGCTAAAGCCAGTGATAGAAATATTACTGGTGGTATTTTGCAATGTTTTAATAATCTCTCTATTTGTTCCATATTGAAATTGGAGATACCAATGCTTTTTGCTAACCCTAAATCTACACATTCTTCCATACCTTCCCAAGTTTCTAGATAATCTACATCACTATATCCAGAAGGATCTTTAGGCAATGGTTCACTTTCCTAAAACATGTATAAATTATATAGTACCTCATAATTAAGTCAATTTTAACACTCATTGTATCTTTTATATCCATATTTTAACATTATTTGTTCAAATAAAGTTACGAATAAATTACCTTGAATCCAAAAGGCCAATGTATGAGATATAAATCAATGTAGTCAAGTTCTAACAATTTCAGAGATTGTTTAAGTTGAGGTACAACCAGTTTCTTTTCATGGTAGTTGTTCCACAGCTAAAAACAGTTTATTTCTATTAAGACAATAATACATTCAAGGCTTTAAATCTCACTGACATACTAACTGAATCTAAAAATGATGATAATGAGAAACCTATATGCCAATAAGTGGACAAGAGTTTGCATGTAACAAGTATTTTCCAAACAATTTCACATAAAAGACATGTCAAGCAAAGTTTTATACTCCCATATTTACTGTCCAACATCTATATAGAGGAATTATTCATAGAATAAAGCTATTGGAGAAAAAGCAACAGTAGAAAATTGAAATAACTACTGGTGAAATGAAGAATTAGATCCTATAATAAAAGGAATGATTATCCAATAGATACTTAACTATGAAAGACTTACAAGATAGATACTGCTATGCTTCAAACAAGTAAATGTCCTTAAAAACTGTCTCATTATCATTGGGGTGCCAAAAGAGATCTGGAATACTTTAAGTCTATCCTTAACACAATCCTTTGACTTTTTCAAGGGGCATTCAGTTACAGCCAATCTAGAGTCTCTATTGTGAAACTGATGAACCCTTTTTCTAGATTAGATGGCAATACTTACTCCTCGCCTATGCTGTATCTGTGTCTTCTATATCCCTTCACTCTATCTACTCTACTCACAGCAACTCATAACACTTCTTCAATAATACAACATAAAGCTTTTATATTAGCCACAATAAAGAACTCATAATTAGAGCGCCTCTTGAAATTAAATGCAATAATCACTTTGAACAAGAATTAAACACTCATTTGCACTTTTTCCCCAACAATGTTGATATAGCTGGATATGTATATAGTAAAGTTAGTGTAGGATTTACAAATAGGTCAAAACCTCCGTTGGAACTTTTATATGAACATAATGAGAGCCAGGATGTAATTCTAAGCTGACTACAAGCAAATTTTAAATATTTTCGATGAAAATAAGTTAATACAAAAATTAGTTCTATGAAAAAGTAGTAGTGCAAACTTGGAAATACATGCACAGAGAAGAGTATCCTTATAAAACTGATTAATATAATCTAAAACAAAAATGAATGTATATTACCCGCAAGTGATGAAATTATGAAAATAAATCCATCCCAGAAAAAAGGGAAAAGATAATTGTCATGATTTTGGATTATGATGAATGTGGAGAAACATTATTACGTACTTTAGTAACAACAAATATATCTTCTCTCTTTAGTTTACCTTCCTTGAAGATACTGTTTAATGCAGTGCCTATTTCGTTTTCATTTCCATAAAATGCAGCAGTATCAATGTGTCGATAGCCTAAACCTACTGCATACGTTACAGCCTCTTGAACTTCATTCGGTCCCGACTAAAACGTTAAAGAAACAATTCAAATTTATAGATTTATTACCTGTGGTTCTAATTACTTTATAGGTCCCTAATCCAATTGTTGGTATAGACAAACCATTGCTAAGTTTTAAAACTCTAGGTATCTTCGACATTTTAGATAACACGTAGATGCTTTTATAATGAATAAACTTAAGTATTATCTCCTTGTAATATATATTTTGAATAAAAAAATATTCAAAAATTCCGAATTCCCAGTAATGACACAGAACCACAGTGTTATGATTTAGATTATTTATGACATAACCATATATAAATCATTCCGTTTGTTATAACACAGTATGTTGTCTATACTGTGGTTATAATTTCATCAGTTCAAAAATACGATGATTACCGATCATTTTCTGACATTCCAGTCGAACCAAATTCGTAATCACTTTTTGGATTCGATACGTATTCGTATCGAGTTTGCCTTCGTTTCGTTTTGTGACTTCGTATCGGAACCACCGAACCGTTGTTCGGTGTCGGAACCCCGTAGAAAGGTTGAAAGTCGAAGGCGCAGTGTTGCATTTTTTAAAACTTAACGTACTGTATAATATAATATTAGTTTATAATATATTTTTGGACAGAGAATATATTTTTTGGTATAGAATAAGTTTTTGTTTCTTATTTTATGACTATATTTATTTTCTATTAAAAACATACTTTTTGAATTTTGCCCCCTTATTTCAAAATGTTTTAGTTCTGGCCCGTCCGCACTTGGCGCTACAACCATTCTCCGAACCGAACTCTTTCTATGGGACTTACTCTACTAGAGAGCCTAGAGAGCTATGTACTTAGATGAGAATCATCTGAAGTCTGCACCTCTGCACTTCTTTAAACTAACCTAGAAAAATCTAGAACTTTTAACCTGTCAATTCAATTTTAACTAACACGAAAGTTTGTTTCACATCCCAGTGTTGATTCAGAGATAAATTTGAAGTAAAAGATGCCAGGTGTTAATACAAGTATGGCTCTACTACCGGTAGCAGAAGTTTCACATGCAGGAGAACCTACACCATTAGAAAATCAACCAAGACAACCCATGAGTTTGCAAGGATTACTTAGATTTTCTATGGAAGCTACAAGGGCAGAAGATACTCCTTCTAATAGTGAATTCATGCCTATGGACGATGAGGTAAGACATTATTACAATAATTAATAACAGTAAGAATAGAAGAAATAAATTAATGTTTCTTCTTTCTACACCCTTATAATCTTTCTTCCCCAAAAGAATCAGCTGCAATATTGTATATCTATTTCCTCACAGTACCTGGACCAAAGATCTTTTCCTACATTAAAAAATAATCCACTGTTAAAATTTCAGACTAATACGACTACCCTTACTAATAAAAGTAATTACCAATATATTTTGTCAGCCACTATTTTTATTGACTATTCTCAATACTTCATTGTTACTTATGAGTCATCCAAGAAATCTTTAAAAGACTTGTATTTATCCAATATGATTGGTTTCATTGTTGCTACAGTTCCCATCATATAAAACTGGTACACCTTTTTTCCCAATGTAAACCTGTGTTCAGACTGGGTTCATGAATCAATTCGTTGTTGCCATCACAGATAACGAAATTGCACTAAATCTAAATAAAAAAAGAACATTCAAAAATGTTTAAAGTTTTTATATAGATATTATTATTATCATTAACAACAAAAAACCGTATCTAATAAATTTAATAACCAGAAAGAGAGGGTTGCGTTAATGCCCAAAATGTTTAAAGGACCTTAACCGTAGGGTATTGGCACAGGAAACATTTTAATGCATCTACTGTAATTTTATAATGTGTCTGTTGCACAGCCCTCCTTTTCGCTGATTTGATATAATATTTTGTTGAACTGCCAACGTTGCCATAGAAATTAGAATGACATATGTGACAAGATCACCTTACACAACTTAAAAAACACGATTTTTGGTTATAAGAGTTGTACCAGTTTTTTATGAAGCGAAGGGTACTTATAGTGTTAATGTTTCTACTCCATATGCCAACCATAGCACAATGAGTACATATAATATGTATTACAAAAGTATGAAGTTGTAATATATTTGAATGTACAATATACAAAAACATTAGAATAGGGTTTGTTTAAATAAAAGGCGATACACTACAACCATATAAAGCAGAAGGGGGAAATAAATATCAGAATCAAATTATATAGGCAGAGAGTGGTCAAGAATATTAAGGCTTGTGTAAGAAAAATTTTTACAAATGGATTAAAAGACACTGGTTGGATACATAAATAAACAACCAGTATCTACAGCTACAGCAGTTGATACTTGATAGTAATGACAGTTTGTATTGATAATAATTGTTTGTTTTTTTTTTTGTTTTTAGAGAAAGAAATTCCTTGAAGAAGCTCTGAAGTCAATGACAGTAGATGTTGTTGAAATTCTCCAAAGACAGATAGTGTTGTTAAAAGGAGTTGAATCTCTAAATACTTCAGAAGGGAATACAAAATATTTAGAAGCTATAGAAACTATTTTGGAATATGTTGATAATATTGATATTGCTAATGGTAAGTTAAATAAATTCTTGTTTATATGTAGTATCAAGATTATCAGATGTTGATGAAAACCCTAACAAATGCTTCACAACCTTTTGACATATGTGACAGTTACACTACAAAGGCAGTTGAAATAATTATTTTTTTTATTGTTGATCTGAATACAATTGGAATATTGTTGTAAACAGCCTATAAGCTTGTGTAATTCTCCATTTTATATCTATTTCATCAGTACAAGTATTTCCTATTACTTTACATTTTTGGTTTGATTTCAGAAATAATTCATTGTTTAATTACACATGCTATACCATAAAGGCAAGAAAGAAGTTTGAAGCAAAAATAAAATTATTTATTGTAAACATTGTAAAATCAAATTAGGTAGTAGGTTTACTTACATATCTGTAATATTTTTTATTAAATATGCATTTAAAAGGGAATTAAGCTTTTATAAAATGCCAGGAAAACTGTATATAAATGAAATAGTACTATTCAATTGTATTATTAGGTCATATACTTCTCTAAAGATATAGATAATTCACAATACCTTTTATGATTTCCAGATTTTCACAAAATTGGTGGATTTACAACCATTTATCCCTGCATGAAGTCCACTGATAGCAAAATTCGAGCAGGAGGATGTGAACTACTGGCAGTTTTATGCCAAAACAATCCATATTGTCAAACAGTAGTTCTTGATAATGAATTTGTACCAAAACTTTTATATATGATAGAAAACGATGATGATGGACAAGTTGTAACTAAGGGTATTTATGCTTTAGGCGGTAAGTAGAATTATATTAACTTAAATTTACATACAGTTTCTTATGAATATCCATACACACCAAAAGTCCATTTGTGTGCTCATTTAGAAGTTGTAGTTGCAATCTTTTGTTACAAAATTTGACTATTATTTTGACAATTAGTTGTATTTGACTTTACTTGCCTATAATATTGGTACACTATATCACCATTTTTAAAAGAAAACTATTGTATTCAAGAATTTTATACATTTTTAACTACTGTACTCATTTGCTACAACTTTGTTTCAAATCTTCTACTAAATATTTATGTTTTAGGCATTGTGAGAGACAATCCTGAAGGTCTGACACAGTTAATCCATTATAATGGACTCTCAGTGTTACTGAACTGTCTGAAAAGTAATCATGAGAATGTTATTATCAAATCAGCATTTCTTCTTGGTACCTTATGTAGAGCAGCACCAAATTTAAAAGGTAATGATATTAACTATTATTAAACAGGTAGATATCTAAGTAAACAGTCAGATTAACTTATTTAAGATGTAAATATCATAAAATATATGTAGCAGTTTGAGTTTTTGATGTCTCTAGAATAATTTCTACTGAGATATCGAAGGTACTACTAGAGAATCAGCATCAACTACTGTCCAGGCACCTTTCTCGTTTTGCAACAATAGTAAATTGCAATATACTATTGCAATCCGAGGGTCATCTGAGTATCTACAAAAATTCCAAAGTGATGCTATTTTTTTTTCATAGCATTAACATATAGTGAACAGCTAAAATTATAGAATATATATATATACTAAAAGGCTAAGCCCTTTTCTTGTGCGCAATACTCCTCCTAAACGGTGATAGATAGGAGAATCATTTTTTCGAATAATTAAACAGATTGTTGAGTAGATTCCCCCTAAGGTTTCAAATTTAAAAATTCGAACCGGTTAAAAATGGAGGCCATAAAATGAATTTTTCCTATAGTAAAGTATAGAATTTTACAGGTTTCATTCTTCAAAATTTACAGTCCTAATTTTCAATGTATTTTTAAACCAGAAGTATTTAATTCCCTACTTCCGGATTTAGTCCGGATTTTAGAATATCCCGCAATTGACATTTCATCAATCAAATCCTTTTTTCCGCTTAAGCCACATTTTATATACATGGTATCGTGAATCATCAAAATTGCAGATATTGGAGTCAAGAAAACCCACATTGGATGACTGAGTCACACACGCAATATCCTCAGAAAGTAAATGTATGGGCAGGGTTCATTAATGACAGAATCATTGGCCCTTTTTTCATTGAAGAAAATCTGAACAGGAGAATGTTATTTAACTTTTTTGAGAAATCAACTTATACCTGTCCTTGCTAACATGTATCCAAATGCTAATAATTCAAATTTACCTAGTGAAAATATCTGGTTTCAACAAGGTGGAGCCCCTTTGCATTACGCACTTGAAGCACATCACTTTTTATGTAAATAGACCCCAAAACTTAAAGGATTTGAAAGATAGAATTAGTCATGAAATGAGTCTAATTACTCCAGAAGTCATCCGCAATGTACTTGATGAATGTGTCGTAGATTCGCATATTGTCAAGAAACTGATACGATAGCATTTCGAATATTTAATTTAAAATAATTAATATGCATAATTTGGTTACTTTAAAGTACATTATTAATTAAATCATTAGTTGTAATTTAGTTGACTTTAAATAAAAAACAATTGTTTTTGTACTCTTAAAAAATAGTTTAGTTAAAATGGAGAATTAAATTCTCGTTTAAATGAGGTGTTGCATTATACAGATTTCTATTTAAAAAAATTAACGATTACGTCCCTACACCTACACCGGTGACGTCATCCCTACTCCATGTACGTTATAAGATGGGTTTTTTTATAACAAAAATCGACCTGTTTCGGGATTTCCTTCAAAACTCGACGGTTTTCGAAATAATGATAATATTCCATAATTTAGCCGTTCACTGTATATCATTACAAAAATGTTAGTAAAAAGAAATTACTTTGTTGACATTTGAGGATATAACATGAAAAAATTAATAAAAACGCTTATTTTAAACACCTTATTTTAAGTATATTAAAACCAACCACTTACATTTTAGAAAAACTTACATCACTAGGAAGTGTTCCACAACTCGTTTCTTTATTTTTAACTGAAAGATCTGCTTGCCACGAACATGTGATGTCTTTGCTGGTATCTATACTTGAAGATAATCCTGTTGCTGTAGATCAGTTTAAAAACCATTCACCAAACATGAAAGATTTGTTGCAGAGATATTTGTCTAGTGTGAATAATCGAGAAGAATGTTTGGTAAGTATAACCATTTGGATAACTTAAAAACTAACATATTTCTCTCTTTTATATATTTTATAATAAGTTGTGTGGTAGCTCAAGGGAACATCCATAAACTACGTCATAGAGAAAACGGGAGAGACTATGTTTATTACGATGGTATACGACAGGAAGGAGGAAGAGGGACAAGAGTGCATGTCCGACACGTTTGGTGTCTTTCAATTTGTCACTATTGAGTCTATAAATATAATTTTATATTTTTTTACTAGCTCTTATGATAAATTCGTAAATACAGTGTTATAGTTAATCTAAAAAAATCCAGAATCCAGAGTATTCAATTTTTATAAATCGACATGAGGGCGGCCTCGACTGTAAGGTTAAACACAGAGTGGCATGCGCCGCGTCGGCGGCCGCGTTGAAAGCGGTCTCTTGTCTATGGTACTTATGTTGTGCAACACAGACGAGCCGTTCGTTCGTCAGCTCGCCGCGTCGGCCTATGCTGAGTATCATGCGCTGTCGGCGGTTTTATGACTTCTGGCGGCACATCAGTAATAGATATCTCGTGCTTCAACACAGACGTGTGACTGTTTTGCAGCGGTTTTATTTGGTTACTTTTGTGAGTGTTTGCCAAATTTTGTATATATTATGGAAGCTGTAGACATCGATAAATTAATTACCAAAATTCACACACGGCCAGCAATTTAGGATATGCGCTCAGATAATTATTCAATAAATAAGAAAAAACAAACTTGGAGAGTTACCCACAGTTTTATTTCGAAAGATGCTTTTCTGGGCCATCTTTAATTTCGTTAACTAACGTGTAAAACGTTCCTTTATTTTTTCATTCATTTACTATAAGATGTATCCAATACTGCGTTTCTTCTTCTTTGATTTAATATGAAGTAAACTTGCACTTATTAGGAAAAACAAATCGTCGTCACTTTCACTAGATGATTCTAGAGACATCATTATACCATTCTACGTCCAAAACTCGACTAAATTTGACAACACCGAATACAATGGCAAAACTACTGCCGCTGTTAAACCGCCTCATGTGTTTTAAGCCGCGCGGCAGCCGACAGGCGCAGACGCGGCGCAAACCACCTGTCTGTGTTTAACCTAAACGACGAAGAGGAGGGGCTGTTAAAAAGTTAACTTTTTTTATGACGTAGTTTATGGATATGTATGATGTAGTTTTTTCCAAACAGTAGCTTCAACTTTTAAGGTAGATAAGCTTATATTTGATTAGATTAGATACATAACGTACTACACACGTGACTTGACATAAACTGACAAAATACTTCACGTAACTGTCAATTTCACATTTTTTGTCAAATATCACGTTTCAAATGTTATGTCGAATGTCGCGTTTTATGTCAAATTTCACGTATTATGTCACGTGTGGACTCGTCCATATGTTACGTCCAAAGACGAAAACTTGGGAGGAAATAACAAACACGTTTGCAGATATATTAAGTTATAACAGCGAATTACTGACCCAAACAAGCTAGTTAAACTACAAAAGTAATTTATAAATTAATTAAACAATGGCGATTTGCTGGCGGCGGGTATCTTGATGCGGGGCTAGTGACGTCAACATATATCCAAATATCGTTCTCACTTTTACTTACCTAAAAGGTATTTCTCTTTCTAACACATCGGGATTGCTATTGGCCAACAATTTCTCTTAATCATCTGAAGATGTTGATTCTATTATGTTCTTTATTCCTGCTATACAATTCTTCCTAATTTATTTACTTCATTTGTTTTACTTTTTTAGGAAGAACAGACATACTGTAAGAGGCTTCTCCATATATTACAGTCCTAGATCAAAACTGCAAGCACTCAAACAACAGCTGTGAAACTTTTTTATCTTTACATATTGTTTAAATTTTTGTATATATTTATTTAAAATAAATTTGTTTTTTTTCTACAATGTGATAGTTATTGCTTAACCTAATATACAGAGTCGAAGTGACACATATTTATCATCTTCGTGGACACTCCTTTAGTTAGTGCGACAGAAATTTTGGGGGAAGATACCATAAAAGAATTAATTACTATTTAGCTGGGAATAAGCCACAATTAAAGATAAAAATACGTTTATTGAACGTTTCAATTTCCACTTCGGGAAATCGTTCTCAAAATAATATAACAGTTAATTAAACAAATTTTGTTTTTTTTGTTACATTAGTGGAATAAATCGTCTAATAATTTATTTTTATCTGAACCATTTATTATTGACAATTCACCCACATACATTATGCATTTTAATGTAGCCGCAACTTTAAATAATGATATTGAAAATATTGTTGTGTTGCGCTCCTGGGACGACTTTACTTATAAGATAGTTCATTCGATTAAATGAAATCAACTTTACTTGAGAATATCCGTTCAGGGAAAAAATCATTAGCATATTTTTCGTCTTGTAATAAAAACAAACAAGATGACATGATGACAGTAAAATTCTCAAAAAACCAACACATAATGATATTTAATTTCATAATACAAAATCACTATAATTAATGTAAAAAAGGAGAAATAATTAAATCCTTTTACGATAGGCCAAAAATAATTGTTCTTAACGAACAATTCGTTCTTGGAGAAGGAAAACATTTTGTGTAACATCTAGTATTATTAATAAAAAATGATTATCCTTTATCGTTTATAATAAGGAATTTTCAACCAAATCGGATCGAATGACAGAACATTTTAGTACGAGATCCTACAGCATACACAAGGAATTAATCTCAGAGGAACAATATCAATACAGTATATAAAAGGATTATCAGAAAAAACTTAAAGGATTGGCAATTAAATTCAACATTTCAACAAAATTCAAAACAACAAACACGGGTGAGATCTATTTTGTCCAAAACCAAACCTAACAATGAAATTGAAAGGACAAAGATGATGCATTTATAAAATACCTTAAGGAATAATGTGATCCAACAGTCTTATATGTAAAATGAGAGAATTTGTTAGATATTCAAATATGTATTCACGCATGGGATAATGAAAATAGGGTTTTCAAATGGAATAATTCAAAAATGTAGTGCCCTAAAGAGACGGATGGTTTAAAAAAAGATAAAAATCAAATGAAGCGGCTTTAATTATTGCTAAATGAGGGCAAATTGTGTAGCAAATTCCTCGGCAGAATGTAGTAGGATTGGTTACCAATATCGAATGAGGAAGTTATTATAAGAAATTACCAGTATTAGTAAGTCAGTAAACATATAGAGGATACATCATTTATGTTTTTTTAATAACGAACCATATTAAAATCAGGGAATTTATGGTGTTATTAAGGTCAAACCAAATGCACGAACAATACTTACATGTCGGGATAGTATTATGATGGTTTTTTTTCCTGGTTTTTTCCCTCATAATTTACTATGGAATCACTAACAGGAGAATTTTACTGTCATCATGTCATGTGTTTGTCTTTTTTAAACACGAATTATATGCTATGATTTTTTCTGACCGGATATCTCATAGTTAAAGTTGATATCATGTATCGAATGAACTATCTTATTAAGTAAAGTCGTCCCAGGAGCGCAACTCAACAATATTGGCAATATCACTTTAAAGTCGTCTACTTTAAAATGCAATAATGTATGTCTGAATTGTCAATATAAATGAGTCAGATAAAATTAAATTATTAGAAGAATTTTTCACATATGTAACAAAAAACAAAAATTTGTTAATTTACTGTTTGTATTTTGGAACGATTCCCGAAGCTGGAAATTGAAACGTCAATAAACGTATTTTTATCTTTATTGTGGGCTTATTCCAGATAAATAGTAATTAATTTAAAATGCCACAAGAAAATAGCTTCAGAACAACATAAAAAGAAATCAAGATGTCGTGGAACCCAAAGTCTACCTAGAAAAAAATCGTACAGTGCAGGCAAACTCCTTCTCCTTTCTGCCTCAAACATGACTGCTCTATAATATTTGACTGGGATGCAGCACTTCTTCCTTATTTTTTTAAGAAGCCTGTAAATTAAGATTAAAAACAGATTAAAGATCTGTTAAAACAAAAGATGTGACAGACTTGTTTCAGTACTTAAAAGAAGAAAGTAGAAACTTCTACAAACTTTTATTTCAAGAAAGCACACCGGTTGAAAACGATAATGGGAGTAGGACTGATGACTCAGATGTTGAGGAAGTTTAGGATAAAATTATATTAAATATAATGTAGTGTCACCAAAATAAGTTTTTTTGTTGTACAAAAACTATATAACAGTAAAAAGTTATAGCTTTCTTCTGCAGAAGGCGTTTTAATCTGCCAAATGTGTTTCCCAGAGGAAGGGCTTATATAAACTTGTTTTAATACTTTTCATTTGAAAAGAAAAAAAGGACATTTCATAAAGGCGTTCTCTATTATTTTATCAATGGATCGAAAATTCGTAAAACTAAAACACTTAAACCATGCAAGTGTTGGTTCGCCTTACTTTGAATGTTTGTTTCCCAAAATACACTTTTAGCAGATAGGCCCTTTTAGCTACCATTCTAATTTTAAAATTATGCGTTAATTTTGGCGCGCAGTGTAGTTGTTTTCTTCTTTCTTTACTTGTCTTACCACCACATGAATGCTTGATTACAAGTTTCGATTTACTTCAACTTATTTCGTAAAGAAAAATTATGTTTCATGTATATTTAATTTTTTAGTTTAATAACCAAGCCGTTTTTTATTGTCTGAAAGCTATTAAAATTTGAGCATAAGCTCAAAGTTATCCGGTAATTAAGGTCTTTCATTTTACACGTTTATTTACCTTGGGTGACAGCTATGTTTATTTTATTATCAGTATAGAAGTATATCAGTATATTGTCGAAGATTTTTCAATTAATTGAAATCGAAATGAAACTAAAACATCCTATTGCCATTTATTTTAAATAAATATTCAACAATGACACAATATGATAAACTTTTAATATCTTACATTTCCCACACATCCTCCTCAATATAACACAAAAAAAAACAATGAAATTTTTTTTCAACAAACGTCAAAAATTTTAATTTATTGCTAAGCTTTTTCTGTACAGTTTTATTGTTAATTTTTTCTCCGTCTTCGATGTCGTTTGTGGCTTTTCACTTCAGATTTATCCTTTTCCGTTTCTTTCTCCGTATCTTCTGATGGGATATCTGCGTTACAATTTGGCATCTAAAATATAAAAGCTTAATGTTACAAATGTATTATTAAAGGAATATAAAATCGTGGATGTCCATTAGGGATGTGTAGTTCACCATCGAAATAGTTCTAATGAACGATTCTTTCAACTGAACTAATTGAACTAGTTCATTAATTTTCATAGAACTAGTTCACTGCGAACGATTTGCATTATAAATTATGTCTCGACTTCTAAAGAAGAAAATAATGAATGAATGAATTAGAACATATATTTATTATTTTGTGAATGGATGGACTAACTAGTTTAAAAAAAATGCCGATTAGCCTCAGATAACAGATTCATAATTCTTATGAATGTGACAATACCATAAGGTCTTATCTTAATGTCATAATGGTTCGGATCTTATGCCCATGTATTGGCTTGGATGTTGCCATGCTGTGTTGTTTCTTGTATTGTAATTTTGAAATAAAAATTTTAGTTGTGGTTAAAATGATTGAGGCATTTACATAAAATATAATTTTATGTAAAAGTGAGAATGAAAATGTGTTATTTAATGTTCCTAGAAAATTCACTGATTTTTTTTGTAAAGGTTCTTTTAGAAATAACCTAATTATAAATACCTATGAGTTTAAATATACGTAAATATAAAAATAAATCATACTTGAACCATATTTATATTTAAAACGGTTAATAAAAAACAAATCTTAATAATTTTTTGCAAATAAAAACTAACTAATCATATAATAATTTAAACCATTTAAACCTAAACATACGATCGAAAGAAATAGTTCCGAACTACTTGTACGGTAGTGAACTAGTGAAAGACTGACTGAAAGAAAGAAATAGTTCCGAACTACTTGTACGGTAGTGAACTAGTGAAAGACTGACTGAAAACCGAAGTAAACGGGCGGCCAGCGCCGAGCTTGTGTGATGATTGAGACGAGACATCTGGCAACCAGTTCTGTTAGGGTTGGATTTCGATGTCGGTCCTACAAATAGTTCTTTCGCGAACTAGTTCACTGAACTAGTTCATTTTTGTGAAATAGTTCTGTTGAACTAGTTCGTCTAAAAATCTAATAAGCACCCTCTAATGTCCATAGAAAAATCAACAAAATTAACGTACAGTAGTTATGCAAGTAATGTACGCTTATATGTAATAATGCAGATCACATTTTTTTTTTATTTGAAACTGCTTCAACCATAGGGGTTATTAGCAATGGTCGATTTTACAGATAACATAAATATATTAAAAAAAAACAAAGAATACAATTAGATTTTGTTAATTAGTACAGAGGAAACCAAAAAAATGATGGTATAATTGCGATCACTATGTTCACTTAGAATGTCTTTTATTGTTGTAGGTAACTGTTCATGTTGTCTTTCAAAGGCGTACAATGGACACTCCCCTAATAAGTGATATACTGTTGTAACATTTTTTTATATAATCAAAATATTAATTATTTCTAATCCCTTTACCCGGTTGCAGATACGCCGATAGTCGTATTCGCAAATGGGTTGTTAAATTTTATTGAAAACTACCGAAACATTTTAGAAGAATGTACCTACTTATTTAAAGACGCCGGTTTAGTTAATCCGTTTCCGGTTTTCAAGCGAGTTCTTTTGGATAAATTCGGTAAATATCGCCAAAAGCACGTTACAGTAATTTTTCTGAAGAGAACGTAATTCAGATTTTATTTTCCTCACGTCAGTTCATCATCATCCAGCCTCAAGAGTCCACTGCTGAACATAGGCCTCTTCCTCATGTTTCCAACCCCGTCTATCTTGCGCCGCTCTTATCCAGTTTTTATTGAGTCTTCTTAAATCGTCAGTCCATCTTGTAGGTGGTCGACCGACGCTTCTCTTGTCTTCCCTTGGCCTCCATTCCAATAACCTCTTTGTCCATCGCCCATCTGTCATTCTGGCTATGTGTCCTGCCCATCTCCATTTTAGTCTGGCTATCTTCTCGATGATGTCAGTCACTCCGGTTCTTCTCCTGATGTCTTCGTTTGTTATTCTGTCTCGGAGAGTTATTCCTAACATGGACCGCTCCATTCTTCTCTGCGTGACTCTCAGTTTGGTAGCTGCTGCTTTTGTTAAGGTAAGTGTTTTCTGCTCCGTACGTCAAGACTGGGAGGACGCACTGATCAAATACCTTTCTCTTAGGCATGTGGGCAGCTCACTTTTAAAAGTTTCTCTCAGTTTTCCAAATGCTGCCCACCCAAGGCCGACTCTTCTCTTCAGTTCATGAGTCTGGTTATCTCTGCCAATCATAATTTCATGTCCCAGGTATTTATATCTATCTACGAGTTCTATTTCTTTCCCACCAATACTGATGTTCTGGTTGGGCACCAAATTGGTCATGATTTTTGTTTTCGAGATATTTATATTTAAACCTACATTTTCTGTAGCCACAACGAGTTCCTGTACCATCTCTCTTGCCATACCTAGATCTTCAGCTATTATAAGTATATCATCGGCGAAACGTAAGTTGTTTAGATATTCTCCATCTATTTTTATTCCCTTTGTCATCCAATCCAAATTCTTAAAAGCATGTTCTAGCACCGTATTAAAAAGTTTAGGTGACATTGGGTCTCCTTGTCTAACCCCCCGTTCTATTTTTATGCGATTACTGTTAGTATGTAATTTGACAGTGGTTGTTGCCTGCAGGTATATTTTGTATAATAATTTAGTATATCTATAATCTAGCCTGCATTCTTTAAGCGCCTGTAATATTTTGCTTAGCTCAACTGTGTCAAAGGCTTTGTGAAAATCGATAAATATTAGAACTAGAGGTTTATTGTATTCCACTGCTTTCTCTATTAGGGTTTTTATACTTTGTAGATGGTCATTTGTTCCGTAACTTTTTCGGAATCCTGCCTGTTCCCTTGGTTGATAAGTCTCTAATTTTCTTTCCATTCTCTTAACTAGTATTCGCGTAAACAACTTATATATATGGCTGAGGAGGCTAATCGGTCTGTAATTCTCTAAATTTGCTTTGTCTCCTGCTTTGTGTAATAGAATCATAGTAGCGTTGTTCCAGTCTGTTGGAATATTGGCGCTGTGAAGGCAGATATTGAAAAGTTGTTTAATTTTTTCAAGTAATACATCCCCTCCAATTTTTAGTGCTTCTGATACTATTCCATCTTCACCCGGGGTTCGATTATTTTTCATTTTCTTCAGGGCTTCTTTGATTTCTGATTTTGTTATATATGGGCATTAAATCTGATCCTTGGTTTAATACCCCAGTTTTTTAGTGTAATTGGAGGTTCCGTATTGTTATCTTTTTTTCTTGATCTATATAACTCTGTGTAGAACTCTTCGACTATTCTTAATATTTCATCTCTGTTCGTTGTTTTCTTCTCCAGTTCTGTTTCTCAGTTTGTTAATTTCTATTTTCCCCCTTTTGTACGCTCCTCTTCAAAACTTTCATGTTCTTATTTTTCTCTATTGCCTGTTTTGTTTTTTCTACATTGTAGTTTCTTATGTCTTTTCTTATTGCCTTTGTGATCGTCTTATTTGCGATACGTCCAGTTACTAGTAGCGTATTTACCTAGAACTTTCCGATAGTCGTTAGAACTTTAACTTCTTAGAAATGGATACAGGAGGACTTGTCGTTTTTGAGTGGGAGATATCCCACCTTTCCTGGGTAGTTTGGCAAATTTTTAGAAGAACCAACTCACTTGTGGTCGGGCTTTCTTGAGAAAAGCCGATCGTTACCTTACCGTCTCTGTGCATTTTTCTTTCTAAGTGTGTATACACTTATATATTTGAGTTTTTTAATCTAATATCATATTAGACTAAATGTTGGTATAAAGTACCTTTTAATTTAAATAACTTCAGTGATTGATACAAAATAATTATTTTTGAAGTGTGTATATTTTAGGCAATTCCTAGCTGAGCGCTTTCGGCTTTACAAAGCCATCATCAGAGCTATGCTACAATAAAATGTTCTAATAAGTACTAATTGGTAAAGATTGTAATTTTTAACTTACGTCAATTTTTAAATACCACTACAAAGGAGAGATCTCATTTCCTTAAGTTTCACAATTATGATTTTGTAGGAGTTGGAATTTTTAAAACATATAAAAAACATATAAAAGGTCGACACTGGACTTCACAAACACGTTAAAAAATTGAAAAAATTTTTTGTCATGGTACGGGTTTAAGACCCGACCATCTATTGATGTGAGGATGTAGACTGAATAGAACTAGTGAAATCAAATGTCGGTCCTTTTAAACGATTTTTCAAAAGTGACAGGTGACAAATGTCATATATAGGAAATAGAGATTGTTTTTTAAATTCTTACAAAATTATTTAGTAGTTTGGAATTACTACTAGTCATCAAAGACTTTCTAAAAATTAAGTTTTTAAAATTAAATTTTATGTGTTCATCACATCATACAGAATGACATTAATTTGTAAATTCACTCAAGTCATTGCTCAAGGTCAATGTATGTTCAATCTGACAGCTATCCTTAAGGAACAAGGGCTCAAATTGTTCAACAACACTATAAAGAAGAAACCTGGTATTAATGTTATGTTATCTGATACTTAAGTGTATTAAGAATTGTATGTCTTGATGGAAAATTGTAAGAACTTTGCATAAAAAATTTTTTTAAGAATGTATTTTCATGTTTCAATTAAGAACAACTGTCAAATGAATTACAAAATGTTGTAAATTTTAATAAAGTTTAAAATTTGTTTAAAAAATAAAAGTATGAAAAATATATAACAAGATTGCATGAGGTCACCCTTCTTCCTCTAAAGTCTCCCATAATAATTTAAAAAGAGGTTTATAGTTGCAATTGAGGTTGATTTGTGTGTTTAAGCAACAATCAGGGTTTATTTTCATTTCTTTGGATATCTCTAGATCTTCCAAGAGATTCATGAGTCTAAAGTTTTTATTGGGAATGTTGTGTAAAATTTTACTGTTTTCAGAAGGAGAAAAAGAATGATTATTAAATTTAATGTGATATCCAAAGTTTGATTTTTCTGGGTTATTGAGGTGTTCTTTGATTCTTTGATTCAGAG